CCGGCCCCAGGAAGAGCCCTTTTTGAGAAGGGAAGTGGGGCTTGGAATTCCCCAACCTCCAGCACACAAACGCACTTCCTTTTTATGGACGCCCCGCCTGAAGAGCACTTCTGGAGAGAGAGCCCTCACCCCAGTCCCAGCCCTGGACCTGCCCGGGGCTGCCCTTAACTCCAGGAGTCCCCCACCAACCTGAGACAGGTGGGACTGGGCAGTCCTGGGTTTACCTTCTCCTTCCTTCGTTCCCAGATGGCCGAGAGCTTGAGGGCAGACCATTCTATTTGTTCATTTGTCCATCCATTCATTTAGCACTCACTGGACCCTGCCTTGTGCTAATCCCTGTCCTAGGCCCCAGGACAGAAGTGGTCCCCACCCTCAGGTCTCTCATAGTCAGGACATCACTAGCTATACTGGAATGGTAGGAGACATGCTGGAAAGGGGGCAGACAGTGGAGTCACTGGGGAGACCTTGCTCCCTGTCTCTGGGACAAGGAAGGCTCTTAGAGGAGAGGCTGAGGCTGGGAGGGGTGGGAGGGCAGTCCTGGCAGGAACTAAGGCTCAGAAGAGGATAAGGGGCTGCCTGGGGTCTTGAGGGTAGGGGTGTTGGAAGCTGGCCTGGGGCTGTAGTCTCTGTGCTCCTTGAGGAGGGGCAGGGGTAGGGCAGGGAGCTTTGGTGGGATTTCCTGCCTTTCCCTTACCGCCCCCCGCCTGGACTGAGGGTGAGGGCACACGTTTTCACCTGGTGAGTCTTTGAGCCCCAGCCCAGGACCCGGTGCCTCAGCCTTGACTGTCTGTTTCCTGAGGACACTGAGAGGTCTGGCAGAGGGAGGGGAGCTGCCTGGGAGGCCCCACCCTTGGCCCCTACCTGCAGCCTCTGCCTGACAGCCCCTCCCCTCACCTGTCTGTCTTGCAGCACCGGCAGCAGTGACCCCTACTGCATTGTGAAGGTGGACAATGAGCCCATTATCAGGTACCACCCCATCCCCAGGACCGAGGGTGGGTGAGGTGGACTCCCTCCCTGAGCATACTGCGCCTCCCCCCCCACCCAACACCACCTCAGAGGAGTGTGAAATTTGTATGGAGATGGGCGTCTAATCCCCTGGGCCCCCATCTGGCCCTGACACAACTGCTAGGTGAGAAAGACCATCCTGGCCTGTAACTCTTTCTGCTAATTACTGACCTTCAAGCCATCCAGGGATTATCTGCTGTGGACCTGGCACTTGTCCAAGGGTCTCTCACTGACTCTGTTCCTCTTCACAGTTTTTTCAGTCCCCAAGAGGGACAAATGAGGATAAGTGCTGTCTCCACCAGGCCCTGTACTAAATGAGTCCAGTCCATTTAATCCTTACAGCGAGCTACATATTACGTCATTAAACCTCATTATGGATGAGAAAACTGGAGACTAAGTAACTCGCCCACATATTTACGAAGTAGCAAAGCCAGACTGGAACCCAGGTCCGGCTCTCCGCGAAGCCTGAACTCCTTCTCCCTGCTCTGGTCCTTGCTCTGACTCAGAGCTCCCTCTCAGCGAGTCCCGCGGTGGTTACCCCCCAGGAAAACTGCTCCTCTCCAGGCTGGGGATTCCCAGCGTGTACCCAGAAAGCCCACTGCCTTTGGACCTCCCTTTCTCCATGAGTTCCATAATTCTGGGCAGGGTGTTTCTGTTGCATCCCCTCCCTCACTCAGGCCCCTGCCTCAAAGTTCATGGCCAGAGCCTCTCCCCTGTTCTGTATCGGTGAGCTGAGTGCTCACTGCTGACCGATCGCCACGGCTGCCCGGCTCACAGTTCTTCCCACCTACAAGCAGGGCCCCAGCCTTTTCCCACATTCTCCCCAAACCTCGGACACCAAAGGGGAAAGGGGCATGATGGCTCTGGTTGTTTCAGTGACAGGGAAGCTGAGGTCCCACACACCGTTCAAGTACATATCCAAGAAGTGTTTGGGGTGAAGGTGATCCCCTCAGCCTTCATCCAGGTTCTTGGAGAGGGGCGGGCTCCAGCTTCCTCTGATCCACATCCCTGCTGAACCTCATGAGTTGAAGGCTCTGATCCAGGGGAGCTTGGCCAGACCTGGGTGAGACCCTGCCCAGATGAAAGGTCTCAGGGTCAGTCCCTGGACCTTGGCTCCCAGGCCCCTGAGGTGGACTGTCTGGCTCCAGAGTAGGCTTGGCCATCCCTCCCTGCCTCTACCCTCAGTGAGTCTGTCCAGCATCAGGAGCTAGGGAGTCCCGCTGTGTGACTTGAGCTGCTGCCAACTGTGGTCTCAATTTCCCCCAATGTAAAATGGCCTGACAGATGCAGCCCTGTGCCCCAGCCGGGGCAGAGAGGAAGATCAGGAGGGAGTGATTGGTAGTCAGGGGAGAAGGGGTGTCTGGGACAAGGAAATCACCACAGCAGAGCAGTTGTTCCCAGAAGTGGAACGGGGTGTGGGGAGCAGTCCTGCTTTGTCCCAGCCTGGGGCCTGCGTGTGACCTGGGCAGGTGCTGAGGGTCCTCTCCTGCAGGACAGCCACGGTGTGGAAGACCCTGTGCCCCTTCTGGGGTGAGGAGTACCAGGTACACCTGCCACCCACCTTCCACGCGGTGGCCTTCTACGTCATGGATGAGGATGCGCTCAGGTTGGTGCCTCCCACGCTTCTACTGGGGCCCGGACCCGCCACCTGCTCCCATCTGGCCCATTTCACTGCTGGGACTGCTGGTCACTCTGCATCCTCTTTATAGCCTGGAGGGAGGGGGAGTCCAGGAGGGTATGGAAGGGTGCAGGTGTGAGTGTGTGTGTGTCCGTGTGTGTGAATTCACCGTGCTTGCACCACGTGTGCACGTGTGGGAATACAGACCCAGGGGCGCTGTGTGAGCATGGGATGTGAGCTAGGAAACGGGCATGTGGAGAGCATGGCCTCGGCATGTATGTGGGGCCACGGGTCAATCCATGGGCAGAAACACATCACGTACACAAGGGTCATGGGTCTTGCCCTGAGAGTGTAAGTGACGAGTGTCAGCCTCATGCTCTCCACAGGGACCCTAAACAGGGTGGCTGGGTGGGGTTTCCTGGGCTCCCTGGAGAGCCCTGCCCAGCTCTGGCTCTCTCCACCCTCCAGCCGGGATGATGTTATCGGGAAGGTCTGCCTTACCAGGGACACCCTGGCCGCTCACCCTAAGGGTAAGAACTCTGGGAGGGAGCACACAACCTGCTCCTGCTTCCCCTGCCCTGACCCCCCTCCTCAATCCCCTCACTGGTCTGCCCAGTCCCCAGCCTTCCCTGCACACAGAGACCCTTCTTCTAGGCTCCTTCAGGCCCCATACCCAGAGAAAGCCATTTCTACGCTTCCCAGAAGAGCCTGTGGCCATCTCCTGCACCCCCGCCTCTGTGCCCTTGTCTTCATTCTGCCCCTGGGTTGGAACCGCATCACCCCAGAGCAAAGGGGCTGCTAGTGGTGGGGTCTGCGGCCTCTGCAGGTAGAAGAAGGGGCCTCCTTATTATTCATTGCTAAGATGTAAGGACTCCTCCTTCCAATCCGCCTGGGGCCTGGGCACCAGTGCCACTCTGTCCTAAGTCTGAGGGGTCAGCCTGGAGCTGGGCTAGACTGGAGAGCCTCTTGGATGGTTCCTGGGAAGCTGACATTGCTTTGAGGGGTCAGCCCTGCCCCAGCCTTGCTGCGTGACCTGGGGTAGGTGCTGCCTTCTCTGGGCTGAGTTCCTATCTGCCCATGAGGATTCAGACCAGGAGTTCTTCGACGCTTCAGGCTCTGCTGGCCTGAGCCCCTGTGACTCTCATAGGGCCTCCCTGGCACACACCTGCTCCTGTCTGTGAGGCTGGGGCAGGCATGCGGGGGTGGGGGGACTTTGCTGACTCATGGAGCTGCTTGGCCTCTGCCAGGCCAGAGGCCTCTCCCGCCCAAGGCCCCAGCCAGCCCCTTGGGGTCTGGTGGCCCCAACGATGCCAGTCTCTCGTTGCTTTCCCATCAGGGCTTAAGCCCTCCTTTTATCAGCCGTAGGCGTGAGCCACTGTACCCCTGTTTTAAGATGGGGAAACTGAGAACAGAAGGCAGTGCCATGATAAGCTAGGGTCAAGGTCACCGAATGCAGCATGGCGCCATATTGAGGACATGGGTTACCAGACTTTGATTCTAATCTAGGCTTTCCTAATTGCTGTTGCTCAGCTTCTGAGCCTCGGTTTGCCCATCTGTCGCTAGGGAAAACAGCCCATTGCCTCACAGAAACTTGAGGGGATTGAGGAGGGGCTACGTGGTGCCTGGCGGGGCTGAGGGTAAAAGGAAGGGAAGAGCCAGACCACTGGCTCAGCTGCAGCCTCACAGGTTTCAGTGGGTGGGCCCACCTGATGGAGGTCGACCCTGATGAGGAGGTTCAGGGCGAGATCCACCTTCGGCTGGAAGTGGTGCCAGGGACCCGGGCCTGCCGGCTGCGCTGCTCCGTGCTGGAGGCCAGGTGAGATGTGGGGGGCTGGGGAGCAGGGCAGTGGGCCCCATGCAACTGGATGCTGAGCCTTTTGCCCCCATCCACCTCCTGGCCCCCTGCCTCCTTCCATCACAGCCCACTCCTGGGCAGATTGGAGAGGTTTCCCTGACTTGAAGATGTTTCCCGGATGAATCCTCTAGGTAGGGTATGACTTTTTGGGGAAGGGGTGATCTAATTGGCAGAATTTAAGGCATTCTAGAGCAGTGGGGTAGTGAGTGAGGGGGGACCCTGAACTCTGATCATATAGCCCCAATGCTAAGACTGATGTTCCTCTGGGTTTAACATCAATATGAAGTTGGCCTGATATGTGGTGTGGTGGGGAGGGGGTGACAGTAGTTGCTGAAAATCTCCAATGAGAAGGGTGAGGTTCTCAGGAGGGACAGTGACTCGGGGTGGAAAGGTGGGCCTGAGTCACCTGTGACAGAGACCCCCGCACTGCCCTCCACCCCAGGGTAATTTTAGCTTAAGTTCCACTCCCGTCTAGGCCTGAGTGTGAGTCACACACTCTCCACAAGGTCCTTGCCTGCCTCCAAGGCAGGAGGGTGGCCCCCAGCCTCTGCCTGCTGCCCACGGAGGGACACTAGCCAGCCAGCAACCATGGGAGCATGCCCCCACTGTGGGGTGTTGGCCTCTCTGGGAGGAAGATCTCTCCTGAAAATGAGGACTGTGGCACTCCTGACTTTATTTGTTGTCCTGGGGCTGGAATGTGGAAGAGGTACAGCCAGATGGAAAATGATTGAACTTGGGCAGAGTCACAGTCACACCCCTCACGCGCATTCTCTCACACGCTATCCATCCTTCTGCTCACCCACTTCCTCCTTCCTCAGCCTCGCTGGCACCAGGCTTTTTGTGGCATGAGTGCACACATGTACACACATACTCACACATGTTGGGGACACAGTGGTTGGGCCAGCCTGGCCCCCTCTTAGCAAGTCTCTGGATGGGGGAGTGGTCTGTTCAGGTCTCTCTTTTAGAGTGTGGGGGAAACTTGTCCCCCATTGTCCTCAACTCAGACCCCTGCTGGAATTCCGAGACAGCCTAAGAAGCAGCCTTTGCTGTAGAGGCAGAAAGAACATTTTCTCCTCATCTTTCTGGGCAAATTCTCAAGGCCAAGTTCTGGAATTCTATTAGACGGTGCTGAGGGAAGAAAGAAAAGCAGGCATGAGAGACTTAAAAATTAAAATATGGAAATGAGCAGAAAATAATATTTATAGCAAATGGAAGAGGGGTAGGCTTTGGTCTTCCACCAAGCTTCTAAGCTGGGGGTGCTATGACCAGATTTTGGCTTTGTAAGGGACAATCTGTGGAGAGAGTATGATCACTCAGGGCTGCTCACCAAGACCCCCCCTCAAATAGGGGGATATGGTGGGGCAGGCTTTCTAGAAGCTCATTACCTCAGGGGAATTGTCTTCTCCGTTTTACTGATGAGGGAACCAAGGCTCAGATGGCCCCTGCTCAGGGCTGCCCTGGGAACAGAGGTGGGGGGCCCACAGCCTGTACTGCTCTACAGTTGCACTGGCTCCCCCTCTGCCACAGGAGGTGCAGCAGCTGGTCTGCAGTGGCCTAGTCAGTAGGAGCCATGGCCTCAACCTTGGGGGATCCTGGGCCTGGTGTGGGGGCCACTTGGTTGCCCATGTGGTGATCACTGTGGGAATTAGGGTCCAGCAAAGGGAGGGACGCTGTACACAGTCACCCAGCTGACCAGGGACAGGATGAGCTCAGGCCTTTGCAGCCTGGTGTGGTTACCCCACGGCTGGGCCAGCTTGGGTGACAGTGGATGTTTCTCTCCCCCTCCAGGGACCTAGCCCCCAAGGACCGGAATGGTGCATCTGACCCCTTTGTCCGTGTGCGCTACAATGGCCGGACTCAGGAGACCTCGGTGAGGAGGCTGGTGGGCTGGGGAGTGAACAGGGAGGCTCAGGGCCCCACCCGGGCTCCTCACTGCCTCACCACCTCCTCATTGTCACCTGAGTGGTCAGGCTGGGAATGCCCTCTTTCAGAAGTCTTGATGAGAGTGCATAGCGGGTCCCGGTCCTCCTGGCACCAGCCCCTGCAGCCTCACCTATCTGGCCAGGCTGGGCCCGGACAGCCTGCATAGCCTACCAGCTGCCCCTGCTGCTTTCCTCACCTCTGGGAAACAGGGTGGTGGGCTCAGCCCTGCAGGGGAGGGTGTGGAGACCTGGCTTCTTAGTGCAAACTAGTACCTTTTTGCTGTGTGGCCTTGGACAAGTGCCTTACTCACTCTGGGCCTTAATTTCCCCACTTGAAAAGTGGGTGGGGGCTTAGGCAGGAAGTTTTTTTTACCTCTGCTGCCTGGACCCAGGAGAGGAGGCTGCCTCAGGGTTCCTCAGGGAGCACAAGGGAGCTTTTTGGCGTGGCTCTGCCTTTGGCTGGGTCTGGGGAGCCCATAGAGTTAGCATCCCCTCCCTTTTCTGGGCAGATCGTGAAGAAATCATGCTACCCACGCTGGAACGAGACATTCGAGTTTGAACTGGAGGAGGGAGCCACAGAGGCACTGTGCGTGGAGGCTTGGGACTGGGACCTTGTCAGCCGCAACGACTTCCTGGGCAAAGTGAGCACCCTGCCCCTCCAGGCTGCACCTGCCACCTTCAGCACCTGGCCTCCCTTCCAGTCACCTCATCTCTCCAGCTTCCCCAGAGGGACCTGGGACTCCCCAGAACCAGCAATTATACCCCCACCCTCCACCTGCCACTCATGCTCACGGACCCTTCAAAGATACAGTAGTCTGCAAGGAAGAGACCTGAGTGGTCCCAGCATGGTGCCCCCCCATCTCTGTCCTGCCCCCAGGTGGTGTTCAATGTCCAGAGACTGTGGGTGGCCCAACAGGAGGAGGGCTGGTTCAGACTGCAGCCAGACCAGTCCAAGAGTCGGCAGGAAGCGTGAGTGCTTGGGACTTGGGGCTGGTGGGCTCTGGGCCTGGGGCAGGCTGAGAGTTGGCTACAGCAGGCGGGCAAGTGCAGTCCCAGGTTTCTTTCAGCCCTTGCCCACCAGGCCAGGACCCTTCTCTGTCCAAGGTGGATCCTACCTCCTCTCCCTACCCACAGTCCTGGACTCAGCTCTCCTCAGAGCACCTCCTGCTTTCTGCCTTCTGGAAGTTTCTGGAACAAGCCTTTAGACCCTTTCGCTTTAAGGGTTTCTGTGCAGACCTCAGACTCTGAGTCAGTGTCCCTGCACGATAGCTATGACTTGCCCCCAAATTCTTGGGGAGTAGGGTTGTCTGATAAAATACACGACATCCAATTAAAACTGAAATTCAGATAAACAATAAATAATTTTTCAGTGTAAGGATGTCCATGAAATATTTGAGACAAATTTATACTGAAAAATTCAAATTTAACTGGGTGCCTTGTATTTTTATTTTGCTAAATCTGGCTGCTCTGTCTAGGAAGCCCTCTGGCCTCCTTGCCCACCTCTCAACCTGGAAATGGAGGCTCAGCAGTGCCCCCCGCCCCCGCTTCTGATGGTTCAGCTCTGTCTCTCTGCAGAAGCCCCCAGACCCCCATTCTATCCCCACCCTCAGCAGGGCAGGGGCAGGGAAGACAGCTGTGTCCAGCACCGAGGCAATTTTGTCTTGATAGCTTCAGCTGCGTGGGAGGCCGTACGCTGAGCAGCGTCACTCAGGAACGGTGCTGCTGTGTTGTGGGCAGCAGGGCCTTAGAGATTGTTAAGCTTTTCTTGGTACCCTCACCAGGAGGGGTCAGAGCAGGAGAGCTTGGAAATTAGATCTAATGTGCCAGTTGCTTAACCTGATCGAGCCTCAGTTTCCCCTGGCAGAGGGTTGGGGATTTGCTTCCAGTCTAAAGTGTATACATGAAGGAGGTATTCTCGGGGAGTTTACAGACTTGCAGCTGGAGAACCCAACATGTTCACATGGGTCAAGCTCAGAGTCCATAGGACTCTAGGGGTGGAGTTTCCGTGAGTCTGGGGACAGGAAGGGCTTTCCAAACAGAGAAAAGAGTTTGGGCCAAGAATGGGAGGTGGGGCAGTGAAGGGCACCAAAGGTGGAGGGTGTCAACAGAGAAACTGTGAGGCTGGCCTCAAGCAGGGAAGATGGAGGCAGTGGGGAGGGGGCATGGCCCAGGATGGCCTGGGTCCTTGGTGGAGAGCTCATAGGCTGCCTGTTCTAGGGGCAACCTGGGCTCCTTGCAGCTGGAGGTGCGGCTGCGAGACGAGACAGTGCTGCCCTCTGGCTGCTACCAGCCCTTGGTGCAGCTGCTGTGCCGTGAGGTGAAACTGGGCACCCAGGTGAGGAGGCCCCCCTGGGGGAAGGCGGGAGGGTCCATCCTCCCTGTCCATCTAAACCCACTCTGAAGAGCAAAATACAGTTTTCAGAATGGTGAGGAACTAGCTAGTGCCCAGGGACCTTCGCCATCCCTTGGGAAAGTGCCCCCACCCTCCCCATGGTCCTCTGAGGTCCTCAGAGTGAAGGATTTGGGTTCCCTTGTGTGTCCTGGAGCCCTGCGTCTCCTTGCTGCCTCCTGCAGGGCCCAGTGCAGCTGATCCCACTCATTGAGGAGATGACCAGCACTGAATGCCGCCAGGAAGTGGCCACCAACCTGCTCAAGCTCTTCCTGGGGCAGGGACTGGCCAAAGAATTTCTGGACCTGCTCTTCCAGCTGGAGCTGGGTCGCACCAGTGAGACCTAGGAGGGAGTGGCCTGTCTGAGGGCATGGTGGAGAAGGGAGCAGGGAGCCAAGGACTGGAGATGCTGGGAGAGGAGAAATCCAGGAGGCCCTCCTGTGGGAGGAGGATGGGTCTGATTAGGAGAAGGCAAGGAAAAAAGCAAAAGGCAGAGGTGGGGCAGTGGGTTGGGAGGTGGCAAAGAGGTTCTTTACTGAGGTGCCAGCTTAGAGCCCCAGGGTCCTTTGTCTTCTTCCCCAAACCTTGTTCCTTTCCCAGCCCCCTACTCACTAGAAACTTGGATTGTAGGTGAGGCCAACACCTTGTTCCGGAGCAACTCTCTGGCCTCAAAGTCCATGGAGTCTTTTCTGAAGGTGAGGTTGCATGGTATATTGTTTTATTTATATAGATGAGGCGATGAGGTTCAGAGAGGCCAAGAGACAGAGTTGGAACTTCAATTCAAATCTTCTGTCTCCATGTCCAAGGCCCCTTAAGGCTAAGAATTAGTTCCATGAGTTTGTTCATTTATTCATTGAATCATTCATTGTCATTCATTGACTCATTTATTCATTCATTGAGTCATTCATTTAGTCTTGTAGCAGCAGTTTGTTGAGCCACATTCCTTGTGTGCCTGGCCCTGTCTTGAGCGGATACATCAGGCAGATGGTACACAGGGTGAGTGGGAGGCCAGCAGCTGAAGGTGGGAGACAGGACCAATGCAGCTAGCAATCGCCCCCAGGTTGCTGGGATGCGGTATCTGCACGGCGTCTTGGGCCCAATCATCGACAGAATATTTGAGGAGAAGAAGTATGTGGAGCTGGACCCCAGCAAAGTAGAGGTCAAGGATGTAGGGTGAGACTGGGGGTGATCCCTGGGGACATAGCAGGGTGGGAGGTGGTGGTGGGGCGACCATGTCTGCAAGTGTATGTTTATGTCTTTCTGCCTGGGTCTACCTTTTGTCTACCTGCCCACCTGTGTGTTATTTCTATGTCCTTATCTGGACTGATACCTTTCTGCACCTGTATCTCTGGGATCCTCTGTCGGAATCGTGTGTGTGGGCGCTGAGTGCGACCCACTCTGTGGATATACCCGCTGTCCCACACAGGTGCTCCGGGCTGCACCGACCACAGACCGAAGCCGAGGTGCTAGAGCAGAGCGCACAGACGCTGCGCGCCCATCTGGGGGCGCTGCTAAGTGCTCTCTGTCGCTCAGTTCGTGCTTGCCCAGCTGTGGTCCGCGCCACCTTCCGCCAGCTCTTCCGGCGTGTGCGTGAGCGCTTTCCCAGTGCCCAGCACCAGGTGCGCCCTCTGCAGGTGGGGCTGGGCAAGGGATGAAAGTGGTGGGGTTAGTAGCTGAGGGCAAGAAGAGGGGTGCAGGGTCATAGGGAGAGACCGTGACAGCGCCAAAGGGGAGGGGACCATCAGGAGCTGAGGCCTGGGGGAGTCCAGCTTACTGCTCTCCTGTACCCTTCCAGAACGTGCCATTCATCGCTGTCACCAGCTTCCTGTGTCTGCGCTTTTTCTCTCCTGCCATCATGGCACCCAAGCTCTTCCACCTGCGGGAGCGGCACGCGGACGCCCGCACCAGCCGCACTCTACTCCTGCTGGCCAAGGTGTGACTGTCGACACCGGTAGTGATGTCCAGTTGGGCGCTGAACAGGGGTTCTTGCCTGGACTGCAGTGTGTTCCCGACTGGCTCCAGGAAGGCCTTGTGACTAGGCTACTGATACTCTCATGTGGCACTGCACTTCACAATTTACAGAGCTTTAACACAGTCACCCAATCTCATGGATAAGGGAACAGGTCCGCAAGGGGAAGGAGGATGCCCAAGGCCGCATAGCTTGTTGGTGATGTATCCTGGGCCTTTCAACCCAAGATCTACTTACTCTCAGGCTGTGCCTGTCTGCCCGGCACCGGCCTGGGGCCAGCGTACCCATGGGGCAGAGTCTGATATCAGACCTGTAGAGGAAGGGCAGTAGGTTGGGCCCAGGTAGTCTCAACTATCAAGTCCCCAAATGCCTCAAACTCCGTGATCTATTCACCCCTGATTCCGCGGTGGGGATGGAGTGGGCCCGTGCAGAGCAAGCTGCTTCTGCCTCCCAATTCTACAGTGGGAGTAGCACAGACTTGGCGGAGTGGAGAGGAGGGGGGCAGCGGGGGCGGGTTTCAATGGCAGGGCCCCTGACCCAGCAGAACCTGGCCCTTCCTGCCGTCATCTCCAGGCAGTCCAGAACGTGGGCAACATGGACACGCCTGCTTCCAGGGCCAAGGAGGCTTGGATGGAGCCGCTGCAGCCCACCGTGCACCAGGGCGTGGCCCAGCTGAAGGACTTCATCACCAAGCTAGTGGACATTGAGGAGAAGGACGGTGAGTGCTTCCAGTGAGGACCCAGAATCTCCTGTTTGTGTTTGCCCCGCCCCCTATCCTGTGGCCCCACCTACCTCAGTGCCTCTGACTGTGCCGTTTCCTAATATCCTTTGCTCCGCTCCCTGTTCCATGGCCCCGCCCACCCTGTTTGTGCCTTTTGAAGCTCCGCCCACAGCCTGCTATGGATGTTTGCTCCCTCCCTTACCCACCCTCACCCCTGAGCTCATTTTTCATTCTACCTCTCCTGCTGGCAGAGTTGGACCTGCAGAGGGCGCTGAGCTTGCAGGTGCCACCAGTGAAGGAGGGGCCACTCTTCATCCACAGGACAAAGGGCAAGGGTCCCCTCATGTCCTCCTCTTTCAAGAAGCTCTACTTCTCCCTTACCACCGAGGCCCTCAGCTTCGCCAAGACGCCCAGCTCCAAGGTGGGTAAGGAGGGAGGCAGGCAAGTGGGGCTTGGAGGGGTTGTAACACCCTGGGGGCACCTGTCCCCTCAGAAAGAATCCCAAGGTCCACCAGGGTCAGAGAAGAAAGCCAGGCAGGACTAACCTTCTGGTGTCAGTCACAAAATCACTTAAGACCCATGAGAAAGAAGCTCCTCTGTGAAGCGGGACATGGGGCAGGCAGCAGCTGCAGTGTCCAGTCCTGGCTTTTTTTCTTTTTTTCTTTAATTGGGGAACAGTGTGTTTTTCCAGGACCCATCAGCTCTAAGTCAAGTAGTTGTTTCAATCTAGTTGTGGAGGGCGCAGCTCAGTGGCCCATGTGGGGATTGAACCGGCAACCTTGGTGTTGTGAGCATGTGCTCTAGCCAACTGAGCTAACCGGCCGCCCCAGCCCTGGCTGTTTTGTCAGATGCATGACTGGGATAGGGGGCTGAGGGGTGCTTCTGGGAAAGCAGGGAAGCTGAGAGGAGTCCTGGGTTCTAGCCTTGTGTACCTAGGGGGAGTGTCTCAACCTTTCTGAGCCTTGCTGTCTTGGCCTGTAAATTTGGGATAATGAATCTTATTTACTAGGTTGTTGGGGATTAGATGAAATGATCCCAGGGTCCAGTCAGGGCCTGACCCAGAGCAAGACCTAGACCAGTGGTGTTACTAAAAACACTATGTCCTTTGGGCTGGCTTCCCGTAAACACTCTCCTCCAAAAAGGGGCTTAGTGTATACTTCCTGGATGGACCTGTTGACCCCTAGCTGGGCCAACCCAACCCCTAGTTAGCCAGGCTCTGGAGTTGGTCTGCCAGGGGTGTCCAACCTAGCCCTGTGCACTAAGGGGGGTGATGGAGTCCCCTGGGACAACCCCTCAGTTCAGGCCTCCCACTTTCCAGCTTCTTTTGCTCTCGGCAGCTGCCCGGCCTTTGGGTCCCCTCAGCTTTTCTGCAGCCTCAGCAAAGCCTGGCTACCTGGCAGGGCCCTCCCTCACCCTGGACCTCTTTCCATCCCTGGGTATTGAGCTTGCCCTTCTGTGGACAGATCCTGTGTATCGCCCTATGCAGTGCCACCCCCACTGCCTCTTTTATGCCCCTTCTCTAGCAGGCACATCCACTCATGGTCAGCACATCTTCTAGGCTGTCCCCTCTGTCTTCGGGAGGTCCCACCCTGAGATGGCTCAGACATATATCCCAAGGGCTCTCCTCCAGGTTTTCCTGCTCTCTCAAGAGATGGCACTGCCCCCTCTCTGCTTGTCACTAAAGCCAGCAGGGTTGGTGGGCTTAGATGCCAGGCTAGGGAGTGTGGGCGTTATCCCGAGGGCCATGGGGACAGGTAATTTGGATGAGGAGGGGCCCTGATGAGTTCTGATGGGAGAGTACTCAAGAGGCAAGGAGAGCAGGGTCTGGAGGCTGGTAGCATAGATTCAACTTAAGCAGATTGAGGGCCCCTCAGGGACATGGATACTTTTCGTCCAGAGCTTCTCTCTGTCTCATTTGTATCTTGTTAGATTTGATGATGACAGGAGTGGGGGAGGGGTCAGGAGGTGGGATATGACTTTTAGAGCCTGGGACAATAAAGGTGAGTTGGGATATTTTTTATTTATTTATTATTTTAAAAATATTTTTATTGGGGAATTGGGGGATGGGAACAGCGCTGGGGAATTGGGGGAAGGGGAACAGACAAGTTGCTGTCGTTTTGTTCTTCAGAATCTAGTTGTGGAGGACGTTGCTTCACTGGCCCAAGTTGGCACCATCATTGCGCTCTTCCTGGGCGAGGCAGATCAGTCGCCGGCTTCTGGACGGCCGCTCACTGCGGCTGCTAGCCGCTCACGCTGGCTGCTGGCTACACACGGTAGCCCATGGCAACCTACTGCCACAGGGGCTGCAGCCTACGCAGTCGCCAGTGACTCATGGCAGCCCAGCTCCAGGTTGAGCTGTTGTTCAGTATCTTAGCTGTAGAGGGCAGTGTCACTGGCCCTCATATGTGGGATCCGAACCGGGGCCCTCTGGCGTCCCAAGCCAGTTCTTAACCATCGCGCCACTCGGCCGGCCCATGAGTTGGGATATTAATAACTGCAAAGGCACAGGGCCTGGTCCACGGCAGGCATTACCTTCCAGCCCCTGGGTGTCCAGAGACTTTTCCAAAATTTAGCCCTCCCAGGACTGCTGGGAGCCCCCCAAGAGGCCAGGCACTTGGTCACCATCTGTCTTCATTCTGTCCTGGCTGAGGTCACTCACAGAGCAGGCTCCTGGAGGGAAAAGTGCTGCAGAAGAGGAAACTGAGGCCCAGAAATAGGAAGTGAAGTGGCCTCAATGGGGACCCTGAGCCTTCCTTTCCCCTGCCCATCCCAGAAATGTGCCCTCATCAAGCTAGCCAACATCCGGGCAGCAGAAAAGGTGGAGGAGAAGAGCTTCGGCAGCTCGCACGTCATGCAGGTCATCTACACGGATGATGCAGGCCGGCCCCAGACTGCCTACCTGCAGTGTAAGGTGCGGCTGTGCAGAGGGGGCACCCTCGGGGAGGGAGTGCTGTGGGAATCCCTTGGGTGGGCTGGAATGAGGAGCGGGTGAGTCCCTCACCCCCTTGTTACCCACATCAGGCACAGCAGGGCATGTGAGATCTGATGTGAGTGCAGAGTGTGTGTGTGTGGGGGGGGGCATGCACGCCTGCCTAGGCACCCCATGTAGGTCTGTGTGTGGTCTGGTGCATGGATGGTGTGTCCCTGTGATTCAGAGCTTCACTTGGAACATGTGGGAAACTGTGTTTCCAAGTATCTGAGTTGGTGCCTATGTGTTTCTGTGTGTGCATATCAACGAATAACAATCACATGTTTATGCATGTGTGTGGCTCTGGGTGCGTGCCCTCACATCCCCTTCTCATCTGTTTGTGTATTAACTCATTCCTTCATTGATTTAAAAAATACTTATTGAGCACCTGCTAGGCTCCAGGCACTGCTCCAGGTGTGGGGGTATGGCAGCTGACAAAACAGAGTCCCTGCCCTAGTGGACCTTATGTCCCAGGGAAGAAGATAGACTGATGAATAATAAATAATTACAATGTCCAGTGGCGAATAGTTCTTGAAGGGAACCAAAGGAGACGAAGAGAGACAGGGAGGGGACAAAGTGCTGTGCGGCAGAGGGGTGTGCTGCTTTATAAAGGGTGGTCAGGGAAGGGCTCCGGTAGATGGTGTTTGAGCAGGAACAGAGCGAGGGATGGTGCATCTAGGGGAAGAACACAAGTAGGAAGGCTGGTGGGGGCTTGGCTTGCCCCAGGGGTGACTGTCCTGGGTAGGGGGTAAGAGGCCACAGACCCATCTCAGGTCCTCCCCCCACACCCCGCCACGGGCTCCCTGTTGGGTCAGAGTTCAGAGCCACAGGGAAAAAGTGGTGACGCAGGACCATGGCATACAGTTGCCAGGTTGTGGACTGCCCTTGGGCATGCAAGGAGTCCAGTGGCAGCTGAAATTCAGCCCACGTCTGCTCACCAAGCCAGGCACCCAGGCATGGGCTGCATCCATCGGGAGAAAAGACAGCCTTACCTGATTTGTTCAAAGCTGCTTAGTGGGCTAGCAGGGAATGTGTTGTCCTGAATGGCATGGGAGCTCCAGGGAGGGAGGGCTTCCTGGAGGGGGAGACCACTGATCAGCCCCACCCTCCCACTGCCCCCATCCCTGGCCTCTGCAGTGTGTGAACGAGCTGAACCAATGGTTGTCTGCACTGCGGAAGGTGAGCATCAACAACACCGGCCTCCTGGGCTCCTACCACCCTGGTGTCTTCCGAGGGGACAAGTGGAGCTGCTGCCACCAGAAGGACAAGACAGGTGGGAGTGGAGTCCTGGGCCCCACTGCACTGCATCTGTCCCCAGCAGGCAGCCTGCTACTGGAGCTGGTGGGGGGACCCTGGGCCTTGGGAACTAGAGGGATGGTACAGAGGAACTTCTACTGGAATTTTCGGTGATGACAATAGTGTGTATATCCTAGCCATGAGCACAAAGTGGCTGTTGAGCACTTGAAAGGTGGCTAGTGCAGCTGAGGAAGTGAGTTTTAATGTTTTTAAATTTAATTTAAATTACATTTAAATAGCTTTATTTAAGTGTGGCTAGAGGCCACTGGAACTAGACCCACCAGCTCTAGCCCAGCCCTAGATTTGAAGTTGAGCAGTGGGTAGGGACTGGTGGCTCTTCACAAGGGTGACGCTGGCTGGTTGGCCTTGCCTACAGCCTCTGGCTGTACCCTTCACAGTGATAACCCTTGTCGTTGGTGAAGTGGGACTCCCCAGGGCACTACGAGACAGCCTAGTAGCCCCAGTGGATATAGAAGGAAACCAAGGCTTATCAGGGGCAGATGCCTCTGCCAAGGTCATAAAGCCAGCAAGTGGCAGGGTCAGCTCATTCCAAGGCATCAACTCACTGTTGGTCCCCTCACCATGATCTTAGGTTTTAGGCTGCTCCCTTCCAGGCAGGTACTTCCAGAAAGTGGTACAGCTCCCAAAGCTGTGTCCTGTGCAACCCCCACACTCTGTAGTCATGTACCCACTGCTCAGGAGTGAACCCGAGGGAGGAGCTGCTGCCCCCGGAGCATGGGGAGCCACAGGTAGGCCCTGGGCCAGACTTCCAGGCTGTGCTCCCAGCCTGGCCCTGTACGGGGAGCCCCTGAGTCCATTCCTTTCCCTCTCTAGGCCTTGGTCTCCCCATCTCTACTAGTTGGACGTGAGCTCTCATAGTGCCTGCCTGAAACTCTGCCTTCTCTCTGCCCCCAGATCTAGGCTGTGATAAGACCCGGTCACAGGTGACCCTGCAGGAGTGGAATGACCCTCTGGACCATGACCTGGAGGCCCAGCTCATCTATCGGCACCTGCTGGGCATGGAGGCTGTACTGCGGTGAGGCCTGTGCAGGGGCAGTGAGTCCCACATGGAAGAGCTCGTGCGGCCCAGGAAATGTGCCAGGCGGGGTCCAGAGCTGGGATTCCAGCTCAGGAACGCTCCGCAGTGGCTGGTCACCTCCCTTCTAATCAGGCCCAGTGCCTTTCGGTCCTTGACAGCCACACCTGGGGAGGGGCACCTGGATCCCTGCAACATGAAGCCAGCGCATGTAAGGATGAAGGCCCCTAGGGCTGCGGAAGCCTCCGGTCAGGGCCATGGCTGCTTCCTTCCCTGGGCTGACCCAGCCTCCCCATTGGCCCAGCCTTCCCATGGTGCCCTTGGAGCGCAGGTATTGCCCTCAGCCAACTCCCTGAGTTCCTCAGCCATCTCGCTTAATTCAGTGGTTCTCAGCCCTGGCTCCAGTGTAGGAAAAACAGGATGCTTTTGAAAAACAACTTTAAAAAAACAGGATGCCCAGGCCCTACCCCACTGATTCAGAATCTCTGGGGGTGGGGCCCAGCATTGGGGATATTTTAGAGCCATCCAGTGCTTCCTGAAAGCACTGCTTCCCTGGGCAGTTTTCTCTCCTGCACCCCTACATCCGGGCCTGGAGCGGTGGTAGCTGTTCTTGTGCTTCATCAACTCTTCCAGGGTTTATTTCTTCAAAACTCGTGCTGTCAGACTAGAACCACCCACTTCCCTGTGAGCTGCAGTCACCAGTGGCCTCCAGGTCACTCTGCAGCAACATCCTTTCTGACAGTGTGCCCCTGTCACCAGCTCCCTTTCCACCCCGACTCCAGCCCCCTTGCTTGGTGACTCTACCCCTGTCCGCTTCGTTTCTGAGCCCCGTACCTCCAGAGACTTACTCTTCCACCCGCCTGGACCCTCACTCCCATGGCCACACCCAAGAACCTCTCATCCCTCCTCCTCATTTTCTAGACGCCACTTGAATGTCACTTCATGTATAAACACATGTAACATTCACAACCACTGAACCCAGTAGGTACTCTTACTACCCCCATTTAAGCCAGAAGCAGTGGAGTGACGATTCGAACCCACGCCGCCTTGGGTCAGGCAGGGCCCACTAACGAGTGCCCGTGGCTCTAACCACTACGCCCTGCCTTGAGAGCCTCCCCACCTCCAGGACCACTAGGCCATGCTCCAGCTCATTCCAGCTCACTTCCCGCGGTGTCCACCTCCCGCAGACCTCCTGCGTGCCAGGACCTCTGCTGATCCACTGACCCAACCACCAGCTGTGTCAGTTTCCTGTGGCTGCTGTAACAAATCACCGCATACTTGGTGGCGTAAAACAACACAGATTTATTCTCTTAACAGTTCAGGAGGTCAGAAGTAAAATATCAGCCTCAGCGGGCTGGCAGCCAGCAGGGCTCGTGGCCTCTTCCTCCATCATCAGAGTGCATCACTCTATCTGGGCTTCCATCATCGCATGACTGGCTTCCTCCTTCGACCTTCTTGCCTTCCTTTTATAAAGACCCTGTGATTACACTGGGCCCACTTTCCTCACCCCCTCCAGCCCCACACCCAGCCTCTCAGAAAGTCCTTGGCTTTACCTTCAGAATAAGGCCAGCTGTGACCCCTTCTCCCATCTACACTGTGACTCCCTGTTTGAGCCACTCACATCGTCCGCTGCAGGGATGACACAGGAGCCTCCTAATTGGCCCTCCTGCTTCTGTACTCCTACCTCCCGAGGAGCTGCTCTCCACACAGCCCCAGAGTGATCTTCTCAAACATAAAATATCACATCACTCCCCTGCTTAAAACCCCTCATGGCTTCCTACAGACCTAAGATCCAAAGTCTTTGCCGAGGCTACAGTGCCTGAGTGCCCTGGCTGACCTCTTCTCAGCCTCATCTTCTACTGCTGGGTTCTCTCTGTGCTGAGCTCACCCAAGCTGTCTTTGCCTTCTTGCTGTCTCTGGGCCTCTCCATCCCCAGGGCCTTTGCACTTGCCATGTCTTTTGCCTGGAGTTCTTCCCCAGGTGTTCACATGGCTTGTTCCCTCACCCGATTCAGGCCTCTGCTCCAATGCTGCTTTGTGAGAGAGGCCTTCCTTGACCACTATTACGCTAGATCGGGGGTCGGCAAATTTTTGAGATGGAAGAGCCACCACGGGTCAGCAAACTGCAGCTCACGAGCCACAGGCCCTGAAGTAAAATTGAAAATGAAATTAAAACTATCATAGTTTCATTTATAAAATTTTTAAAGGCTATTATTCACATAATGGTGATTATGTAAAAATATATTTGTGGCTCTCGAATAATTTTTAAATTGTTGTGAGGGACAGGATTGGCTCTTCCAGGGGTCAGCAAACTTTTGAGATGGAACGTACCCAAAGAGCCACATGTGGCTCGTGAGCCACAGTTTGCCGACTCCTGCTCTAGATCATTATGGAACTCATCAATATGTGCTATTTATTCATTCCTTGCCTGTCACAACTACACAGAGCTCTCTCAGGGCAGGCCTGTGGTATTCGCTGCTCTAATCCCAGTCCTGAGAACAGTACCTGGCACATTCTAGCCCCTCAGTAAATGTGGAATAAGCACATGAGTGGAGGCATAAGGCAGCGACGTTTGAACTGGTCTGTGAGGTTCAACTGGATCTCCCAGAGAGGGAAACAGAGAAGGGCATTCTGGGTAGGAGGGACAACATGAGAAAAGGTCAAGGTGACTGCACTGAGAGAAGTAGGAAAGCAGGCCAGGCAACCCCCCGGGGCCAACAAGGCATCTGAGAAGGAGGAGCCTGTTAGACCTTAGCAGAGAGCCACGTCTCTCCCAAAACAGATCAGGGAGACGGTCAAGAGTTGAGCCAGAATTCCGAAATAAGGGACTTCATGTATGGGTTCCATGCGACTGCTCACCCTCCATGTATGCACACAGAGGATCATACCTGAGAGGGCCTGGGGACCTTTGGAGAATCCTGGTTAGGAACCATGCTTAAAATGTCAGTGTCTCCTATTCCCATAGGAAGGACACTCATTCCATGGCCAGTTAACATTAGGGAATTTTCAAGCCCCTACTGGTTCTTTTCCGAAGGGCCCTCCAAAACAGGAGTGGCATAGTTTGGGCTTGGTTTCATTTTTGGACCCACAGTTGGGGAAGGTGGGGAGGAGGGGGGAAAACAGGAGATGACCTGGGCCCATGTTTCTTCCCCATAGATTAAAAGAGTCAGTTCCATCTCACCCTTAGGAGCCCCCTCCAGCTCAGGAGGCCCACACTTGGTCACCCAGCTTTCCCAGCAAGGGCACCAGGAAACCTCACTCTGTCCTCTCCCACAGGGAGAAGCACCGGAAGCTGAGTACAGGCACAGCGGCAGGCTTGATGCCCATAGGCCCTGGCGAAGGTAGGTCCCTCCCATCTGGACTCTCCAAGTGGCCTGAGCCCCCTTCAGGGATGCTGTGGGTGGGGCTCCTGAGGCCCACTTCCAGGGACCTTCTGGCCTTTGGGACAGGTGCTGGCAGGCGAGGCCCTGCCTGCTCTGCCCTCATCCTGCATCTGCCTCCAGCTCCCGAGGACCCACTGGCCCAGCTGCTGCAGGTGCTGCAGGACCTCCAGGAGGCCCATAGCCACGGCCCAGCCAGCTCTGCACCCTTGGAGTCAAACCGCCTCCTGGAGCTGCAGACGTGAACTCTGCCCCACACTCCCTTGCCGAGCCCCTGTCAGGTGCTTGGAGACCCCCAGTGCACTCCTGGCCCTTCACCTCAGTTCCTCTCATTGGGGTGCAGGGCCTTGAGTCTTTCCTGGGCTGGGAGACTTTGGGAGGCCAGGGACCAGAGGGTGCAGAAGTCAGGAACTGACAGGACTTGGGCCTGTCATTGCCCATGCAAAGTCTCTAGGGGACTCTGGGGGTTTGTGCTCCTCTGTGAGGCCTGGTTGCTCCTTACAGCCCCTGCAGCCATCACCACTACTAGCCCAGACTCTCCGGGACCCTCCTCTCTTGCTCAGGGCAGACCCAGCCAGAAACTATCCCTAGGATGGTCCACACTAGGGATAGTAGACTGACACTTCCTTGGACTTCAGAGAGGCGGGAGGGAACATGTGCCCCAGGAAACCAGGCCTCGATCTCAGCACCCACATTACTCTCGGCCACCACCCCACCCGCTCCCCTCACAGTGGCTGTGCCCTGGGAGAGTGTCACGGTGCTCTGTTGCCAACAATAAACCTGTGACTGCGGCTCTTGGGTCTCATGATGGGGGTCAAGAGGGAGTGGGCCTGGGGCCCCCAAAGACTGCTGGTGGCGGGGGGCAAGGACTGGGGCCACCAGCCTAGCCTCTGTGCATCCCCATCTCTTCTTTGCTTCCCCACCTCCCAGGAGGGCTCCTTTCTCCTTCCAGCTGCTGTCCCCACCACGTCCCTCGTTCCCGTTCCGCCATTCCCCACAGGCTACAGAGCCTGACCTGGCTCGCCAGCTGTTCTCTCCTTGCACCCCGCAAACAGGCCCTTTTTCCAAGTATCCTGAAGACTGCACAGTGGGGGCAGGTTTAGAACCTTGAATCACATGGCCTGGCCCTGGCAGCATCCCTTATGCCAACCTCTTTAGCCAAAGCAAGGCTCCCTCTGGTTGTACCTCCCTGTCCTCATCCTGACCCATCTAGGTCCACAGTAACCTCCAACATAATTAACAAGACTTGAGGGGCAGGGGCTTCCAGCAGGTTCTTTAAATCTCATCCAACCAAGCTTCGAGCCTTCCCTGTGAATACCAGGCCTAGGACAGTTGCCAAGGACCCGGGTCACGGGCAGCACCCCTGATGCAGCTGACCAGCCAGGCCCTGGGGCAGGGCCATCTGGGCAGGCTGCATAGTGGGTTCTTTGAGGGATGGCAGAGACAGCAAGAGAGGTATGAAGGAACAAGGGGCTGCTCCTCCCCTCTACCCTATGGCTTTTGGGGCCATGTTGGCCTTTTCTCCTGGCCACAGCCTTGATGGAGGACAGTGTCCCCCCATAAGCAGCCTACCAACCCACCCCCTTGGATGTTCATTGCTTCTTGGTCATGATGCCACCATCCTATGGACCTTACGAGCCTCTTTACAGGGCCGGGCATCCCCCTGCCTTCTTAACCCAGGGCTTGGGTCCAGGGCTGACTGAGCGCCTGCTTCCCTGGCTACTTCTTTAGGTCTCACACAAATCCTCATGCCTGTCAGATCTTGGGTTTCAAGGACCTCATGGTCAGGAAGTATAGACCCCAGGGTCTTGAGCCCTAGTGCAAGGAGTAAAGGGGAAAGAGGTGTGCACTTACTGAGTGGAACAAATAGAACTCTGGATTTTAACTGCACACATATAGCCACCCACTGGCAACACCCACCACCCTGTCCTCCAGTGGATCCTGGTGTGGATGTGGCCACTGCAGCCAGAAGGGGAGTTAAAATGAATAAGTGCCTGGCACTGCCCCCACCACTCTGGGTGTACCTCCACCCCCAGATTCTCCTCTAAGGCTCCAAGCAGAGCCGCCTACAGCCCCAGATGCCACATTGTTTTTGGAAGCCACCTGGGAAAAAAGAGGGACAGAAGAGACGCCTGCCTGCCCCTGGCACACCTGGAGCTGGAGGTCACAGCTTCCGCCTACCCAGGGATTCTACACCAACACCCCCACCCTGGGATTGCCAGGCCTGTTATTCACCCAGAACCTGGGTCAGGTCCCCCAGATGTCTTGAGAGTCTGACTGGACCCTCAGACAGAAGTCTGCTGCCCAGGGGGTGGGCTGGCAGCACAGGGCAGGCATCCTGGGAAGCCCTAAAAGGGCCCACCTCACACGGTACGTGCATCTTTCATCCTCTGGGCCTGTCCTGTAGGAAATCTGGGCAAATTCCTACCAACTTCCTTTTGGGAAAGTATCATTCCTGCCAAAGTGTAATTTTCAAGTATGTAAAAAAAATAAATATAGAATAAACATGTATCAGGTTTTTACACATCAAAGAGGAAATGAGTGGTAAAGCTGGTTCGTAGAGCATTTTGAGAAGCTAGGTATCGGTAAGCATTTTGAGAAAACAATGCTAGACTAAGATTGTGATGTTAGCTACAGTACTGGGAAATGGGAGTTTTCTTCTCTGTGGGACACAAACCTACAAGTTCATAAGGAACTTCAGTTTGATAATAAACATCAAAGTCAAACACAGGTCCATTCCCCAAGATTAGGGATTTTAAAGGCCCAGGCATGCAAGTTGTTTTTGTGTGTGTGTGTGTGTGTGTGTG